GGGAGAGAAAAGAAAAAAAAAAAAGAAAAAGAAAAAAGGAAGAAGGTGAGAACTTGGGAAAGGGAGAGGTTGGGTAGTTTGGGTTCTCCCCACCTCTGGGTTCTCCGATGGGTTCTCCAGAGAACCCAGACCTGGGTTCTTCGAGAAAAACCCAGGTCTAGGTTCTGTCAAGAACCCGGACAAAAAAAAAAAGAAGAAAAAAAAAAGAAAAAAAAGGGGATAAATTTGTAATTTTTTGTTTAAAATTATGTGGTTAAGTGGTGTGTGCACCTTCGGTGTTGAACCAGAGTGTGCATGAATCGCGATCCAATAATATATCATATTGTAAGTTTATAATTTCATTTCATATGAAATTATAGCCATAATATTTTTATTTTTCCCTATGAAATTATAGCCATAATAATTTTATTTTTTTTGCATGGTAATTCCTTAAAAGTGTTCACACTTTGGCCATGTGTCTTTTTTTTAAAAAAAAAATAGGTAATGGTGGTCATGTGTCTTATGCTGAAAAGGTACGTTTGAGTTACCAAAATGAGTGAGGGTCAAGGTATGCTGAAAAGCTCCTTGCCTTACTAACACGCTATCAAAAGTGATATTTGTGACCAATGAGGGGTTGGATTAAGTGGCAAACGGCTTGTTCCAATTTAAGTATGGTCTCGAATTCGAGACTTTGTGTATGTAGCAGCTTTTATTGGAAGACCCACCCACCATTCTGGTGCGCCACAGCTGGTCGAGTCCGGAATAGTCGAGGCGAAGCCCCGGATACCGGGCGAGAAACCAAAAAAAAAAAAAAGTGATATTTGTGGAATGATAATTTTTAGTGTTATAAAGATAATTTTTTTATGGACAATGATAGGCACACCATGAATCAACACCCGACTCAACACACCCTACAAAACCAAAAAATTTTTAAAATACAATTACAAATTTACCCTTCTCACCTTCTTCCTCTTTTTTTTTTCTCATTTTTTCTCCAGCAGACACCAGATCGGGTTTTCCAGCAGATCCCGATCACCATGATCTTCCTCCTCCTCCTCCTCCTCCTCCTCCCCACAATCGTACACAGATCCAACCAACA